CAGGCAGCTGCCACCAGAGAGGCTGCTGGAGGAGGACAGCAGCAGGGGCAGGACAGGACAGCTCAGCTGTGTTACCTCGCAGGTGCACTTCTCCAGAACAGGCTGTTCTTACACTCCACTTGCTCTACTCACACCTGAAAGTTATTGATACCAACGTACCTTCAAAACACAGTGTGGATGTTCAAACTACATCTCTCTCTTTTTTTTTTTTTTTTTTTAAATCTGTTTTCCTGCAGTATTTTGCATTGGTTTTGGAGTCTGAGACTGTCTTTTGCTGTCCTTCAAAACTAAACATATATGGTGACATGTTGCTTCTTTCTTACACTCTAGGTGTTAAGTAAATTGGCTCTTTACTTTCACTGTTCCCAGAAGTGTGTTGTACACTACAACTTTATTCATGGATTTAGTACATACCTGCCATTGTGGGCTTTCCCTAGAGAGCACAGATGAGACTATCACTTGTACAGATGACCATCTCCACATCTGGGCTGCTTTTCTTTTGGCCTATTTCCCCCCTTTTTTTTTTGTGGGATGGGGGCTTATTACAAAACCATTTTGAGCATGTATGAGACACATAACAATATGATAAATATACATCTCTTGTCTTCCTTGACAGGAAAGCTTTCTAAAATAGTGATGGTATTTCAAAACAATGAAGCCCTTTTCCAACAAACAATCTTTTTGTCTCACTCAGATAGGCTTCAGTTTGCACTGCAATAGTAATATGGTGCATTAGTGTTTTAAGAAATTTACCCATACCTATTTCCTGGTCTCCTCACAAAATATAAGTCACTGTTAACATTGCTATTACACAGTGAAAGTCTGCCTGTTGAACTCAAGGGTTTACTTAACCTATCTTTGAAACTAATTTTGTGTAAATGTAACGCGATATTAAATAAAATAGGACAGATTCGCTAAGATGAACAGAAATGTTTGTGAAAGAGCTCAGGGTACATGAACTTGTTCCTAATACGAGATAGAACACCTCCTGTTTCTTGAGGAGAGCTCTTTGGAAGTTGGCCTTCTCACCAGGAGCTTAGCAGCTTTCTGGTGGCATACCATGGTCTCAGAAAGATCTTTCTAAAATGCCTTGTTTAGGTCTCTGTTGGAATTTATAGGGTATTCAGAATGTCTCTCTTTTTCTTACCAGCTGATCAGGCAAACAATACCGTTCTGTGCCTCTGTATCTATCTTGTTCAACAGGTCTCTGCTCATTATCCTCTTGTACGTCCTTTGTTTCTTTTTACAAGGATCACTTATAAAATAGGTTAAGACCCAGTCTCAGGACTGACATTCACCTCCAGAAATGTAACTCAGTAATCACTTTGTTGGAAATCCACCTAATGCTAGAAAAAAGCGTAACTGTTCATTCCTCTTGTTAAAACTTTTCTTCTTTACTTCCCTGGCACAGAGGATGTTTTGATAGCTATTCCAGGGTTAACAGTCTTTCTGCCCAACCAGCTGCTGTTAAATGTTGGCTCTGGAAGGCTTTTCCTTTGCCCATTAATCTCAGATCTGGTGAGGCCAGTAAGGCACTGAGGTGTGCATCTCTGCTTTTACAGAGCTAATGATAGACTTGTAAAGGGGGGAGGCTGTTACTGGGGTTTTGCTCTAACACTGACTTCTTCCTGCACATAGCTATACTTTGACGTGGTATGCTTGAACTTACAGATCAAAGAGAATTACCAGAATGATCCACTTGTGAATTGTGGGCCATTATCTGTTATTAACTCATCTTGAGCACTGTGGTGAGCAAACTGTAATTTACAGTATGTTATTACATTTCTGCTCACTGTGGTGTGCAGCACTGCGTGTGTGTGGTAGTCCATAACAAGAAGTAATCTTTGCTGGCTAATTCAAATAGATCTTTGCCAACCTCTACTAAAATTGATCAAGAATTTAATTTACTTCTAATAGTTTTGTTTTTCTGCTTCCTGCCCCTCCCACCACATTTAGAAGAGGAGAAGGTGAAACCTTCTCCTTTTCTCTTCAGTACATGCTTGCTTCCAGGAAAACTTGGAAGCGCAGCAACAACCTCCTGCGGTTCTCTGCCAGATTTCCTTCAGGATTTAATGATTCAGGTGGCTTCATTTGCTAAATTTTTGCCAAAAAAAAAAAAAAAAAAGAAACTAGTTCTCCACTGACACCATATAATAAAGTTGAGCAAACAGGAGGGCTGGTAGGAGACTTATTTTTATTGCCTAGCCCTGGTCACATGACAGATCAGGTTACAAAATACTAATACCCCTGCCAACTCTCAGGATCCACCAATTCCTCTTGCTACTGTTTTAATCCAACCTGTCTTTTCTGTTCTTTTTTTTTTTTTTTTTTTCGTTTTTTACCCCTTTTTTTCCTGAGGGCAGGGAGTGAGGCGAAGGCCATTAGACTGGGGCAGGAGATAGAGTGAAAAGTGAGTATATCATGGTTGGGAGTATCCCTTTAGCTCCTTCAGTGTTTGTTCAGCACTTTTTCGCCAGCTGAATAGCTTATTCCCTCGGAGTGTTGGCAGCCTTTGGCAAAAGTAAAGCAATGTCAGCATTCCCCTGTTCCATTTATTTTTTGGAAAGGAATCGTTAAAAATGTTCCATTTTCACCTTGTTTGCAAGTTGTGATTAAGGCTTCTCCCCCAATTAAATTGTGACATTCTGGCTTGAAAAACAACTTCAAGATCTGGAAGATAAGCTAACACACGCATGCATGCAAAAAAAAAAAAAAAAAAAATCCTCCTTCTTTCTTATGGAAAGAAATTCAGCAGTTCAGTGGAGCCACTTCTTTTATTAGTAGTGAGACAAATACATTTTCAAAAAAATTGCTGATAAAACAACAGATTTGAAAAATGTAAACTTTATACAACTCTGGACTTCTTCACAGTGGTTTCCCCTTTGTCCCTTCTTCCAGCATAAAACAGAACCAGAGCTTTGGTGTTACAGGTTCCTGCAAGGAATCTACCTGGATAGGTAAATGCCCTGCATCCTTGTACAGTCTCTGATGCAGTAGCTACCCTGCTGCTGACACCCCAGCTACATCAAGGTGGGCACTACTACAGCCATGATGTCCTGAAGGCACACCTTGGTAAATGAAGTAGCACCTAATAGAGAGGTGAGATTTTCATGCAAAAGGGAAAAAAACTCTCTGTGGTACTCATCCCATAGGCATTGATGCTTTTTGTTATGTAAAAGACAATAACTACATATGTTTCCCCCTTTATGAAAGAAGAGTTTTGGCACAGGAAGTTAGGAGACCAGTTCATGGCAACTCATGTTGAATTTAAGAGTCAGAATTCAGGTGAGAGTTGTAGTCCCTGTGTTTCAGCTATGAGACCACCCATCTTCTCTTTTGGCAAGCATGAGTGGAAATGTACTTCTGCCTTCCAGTGTCTGTGACCATGGTAGTTTCCAAGGGAGTATGTTGCAATTGTTTTAGTTTTTCCATTTCTGCTCTTCTTTCACAAGTTGCCTGTAAAAATCTGCAACACCCTTACATTGTCTATGTTCTGAGCTCTCTTGAAAACACAACCCTACCCTGATTCCTGACAAAATAACCTCTTGTAGTGAGTTTGTTATGACTGCTTCTGCCACGAGGCAGGGTTAGAGGAAGTACGTGTAAGCAATGACTCCAAGCATCCACCCATTTTCACTTGTTGTGGCCACTGCCTGTAAGCTGGTAGGGGCAGGGATCATCACTTTCTACAATTCTACAAGGCTTTGCTGTATCAGTACATCCAAACACAGCACTGTGTCCCCTTAGAAGGCCCGTTTTCAGAAGAGTTAAAATAACATACATTCCTAAGTTTTTTATGAGATTCTTAATGCTATGAGAAACAATGGAAATTGTTTTGCTTAAGTCTTTCCTCTTCAACTGCAAATAACACAAGTGCAAAAACATCAGGAGGACAATACCATCCACAGTAAGGGAAAGGTAGTGTTGGATCTCTACACTTCCTTTGACTCTAACATAATGGAGTTCCCTTAATAACCTGATAGATTTTGATAAACCATGGCCATGTTGTGATGACCTGCTTCTTAGGTATTTGTTTCCGTGTTCTTCAGGCAGTTTCATTTCTGTGTGTGCAATCACAGCACCCTCTACTGCCTCCCGCATACCCTGCAAAAGGACAGAGAATGTGAACTCTAAAGACTTTAGAGGGACTAGGCTCTCCAATTATCAAGTGTTGTTTTGTATATGAAACGACACCCCCACCATGAGAATGATAACGCAAGAATGTATTTAGTTCTGTCTAGAACACAGATCGGAGCTCATAAATGAAAAGGATGAATTCCTCATGGGCTCACGCACCTATCAACCTGAGAGCAGCTTTCCCCTTTCACATGTATGCAAGGCATTATCTTTCACTTTTGTTAGGCCGACGAAGGAAAAAAAAAATCTATTTTCTTAGTGAGAAACACAAAGAGGGAGTAGATCACATGCTATTTCCGTGTGCTCCGCGTCGACTAATCCGGGCCTGACAGAAAACTCCCCTTTCCCGGAACCCGCCCCTCAGGAGCTTCAAGTGCTAGGGCTGCGAAGTGCCCTCTCGCCCCGGGCAGACGCAGGTTTCCTGTACAAGTCCAGGGGTCTGGCTCGTTTAGTCCCAAATCGCATCCTTCACCGCCTGCCGCACTCAGCAGGGCCCTTTGCACCGGCCGCTCCAGCACTTCCCTGGGGGTGCCGGCCGCTTCCCGCTGCGGAGGCCGTGGCACGTGCGGCTGGAGCCGAGCCCGGCGGTACCGGAGGAGGCGGTGCCCGAGGGAGGGAGGAGGCGGTGCGGGAGGGAGGGAGGCGGTGCGGGAGGGAGGAGGGAGGCGGTGCGGAGGGAGAGAGGAGGCAGTGCCGGAGGGAGGGAGGCGGTGCGGGAGGGAGAGAGGGAGGCGGTGCCGGAGGGAGGGAGGCGGTGCCGGAGGGAGGGAGGCGGTGCGGGAGGGGAGGGGAGGCGGTGCCGGAGGGAGGAGGCGGTGCGGGAGGGAGGGAGGGAGGCGGTGCGGGAGGGAGGCGGTGCCGCCCCGTGCCCGCCCCGCGGACGTGGCGCTGCGCTGGCGCTGCGGTGCGCGTGCGCGGTGTGCGGCTGCGGCGCGGGCAGGATGGTGCTGCTGGAGAGCGAGCAGGTGCGGGGCCGGGCCGGGCCGGGCCGGGCGGCGCCGGCAGCGCGGGGCGAGACCCCGAGCTCGGAGGAACCGACGGAGGGAGGAGGGTGGGGGTGGGAAGGAGGGGGATATGGGGGCCGCAAAGCATCGCGGCGCGCCGGGCCCGCGGCGGCCCCGGCGGCGTGGAAGCCGCTTCGGGGAGGGGAGCGGAGCGGGGCGAGCGTCGCTGTGCCCGGTGACTCGGGCGGGGGCGGGAGTGCCGGGGCGGCGGGGGTTGTGGGGAGCTCAGACACCGTGTTTGATTCAGAACGCCGGGCCGAGCCGGGCCGCCTCTGTCTGCGGCCTCGTGTCTTGCGGCTCCGGCGTGGGGAAAGCCGGGAGCTCGCCTTCCCTCAGGGCTGGCTCCCGCGGGATGGAGGGCGCGGGGCGAGGCAGGGCTACGCGGGGAGAGGGACTCTGCTCTGTGTGGTGCCCCACAACCACGGCCGGGTCTCTTTTCTCTTGCAGTTCCTGACGGAGCTTACCAGGCTGTTCCAGAAGTGCAGAACTTCCGGGAGTGTTTTCATAACGCTGAAGAAATGTAAGTTTCGCGTGTGGTACTCGACTAAGGAGGTGTTCCTCTACACTTGGCTGTTGTCAGCAGGTATTTTAAAAGATACAGTTGTAATCCAGGGTGTCTGGAACCAAGAGCGGTCACAGGGACAAACTAGTCTGCTGGAGTACTAATGGTACTGCCATTAGTAATACTAATAAACTTTGAGTAAGACTGTATTTCAGAGTGCAGGAGATATGGGACTTTCTGATTGTCAAACAATAATTGAAACCCACTAGATTTCTATACAAGGAGAATTCGAGTGTTGCTTTGGTCTGTTCATGTTCCTTTGGTTCCTGGCTAGCTGGCACTACCTGAGAGGCCCTGTGTGGGAGACAGCAGGATGACATGCACTTAAAGCACACTGCTGCTGGAGCAGGTGGTTCATACGGCATGTTGGGGGCGAGGATTTACTTTATTTTTTCTTAGAGATATAGCTCATGGAACTGATCCTTCTGGGGTTACAGAATAAGAGGTCTGTGAACAGTTTGTCAGTTCAGATGGCCTTAAATTCCACGGTGTTTTACAGATCATGAGCATGCTTTTAACACCTAATGTCAGAAGGCATCTGTTGATTTTAATGAAATATGGATAAACGTTCTCTTTCAATACAGATGATGGCCGAACAAAACCAGTCCCACGCAAAGGCCACGTAGAAAGTTTTGAACCAGCAGACAATAAGTGTCTTCTAAGGGCAACTGATGGAAAGAAGAAAATTAGCACAGTGGTAGGTGACAACTTTGAGTTAAAAAGATTAGTGGCTCTGTGGGTCTTTGATTTAATGCTTTGTAAGTGAAATTTCAGAAAGTATTAACTAGAAGTTGAAAACCTGACATGTGCTTACTTTGAATGAGGGTTTGGGAAAGGTTTTAGCTGACTTTAGCTCTCCTCTGTGATGTGACACAAGGAAAAATGTTGAGAAATGGTTGAGCAAATCTGGGCTGCAGCGTTTTTATGGCCCTACAAGTTAATCAAACCTTCCTCTGAATGTTCCTTCACATTCTTCCCATTTGAAAACACATGCATTAGGGATGAATGGACTCTAGAGGATTCTGTTAATCAAGTAGTATTTTCAGTTTTCTAAATGAGTGAAGTCTTGTATCAGTACAGCCTATTGACCACTGAATGTGATGAGTGGACCCAAATGCTTCTAGAGACTAGGTGCTGTCTGGTGGATAAACATGTAATGATACTTGGTTTGTAATGGAAGCCAGAGTTTTCTTGGTTAACCTTCAGTATTACTTTTCTAGGTGAGCTCAAAGGAAGTAAATAAATTCCAGATGGTAAGTTTTGTATGCCTTTTATCTTCCTTTTCTGTAGGTACTGGGAATGATCTGTTGGAATTGCTGCACAGCTGTGAATAGGTTGATTCTGTGCTGAACTGCTATATAGATTGACCTTAGATCACCCATCCATCTGCATTTGTTTAAAAAAGATTGTGTTTTATTTTATCTGACTTTGTGTATTGGTTTAGAAACAGTATGCTTGCAGTGCATGGTTTAAGAGCATTATTCTGAGAATGCAGATAACTATCCCTTAGTAATATGTACAATGTTACTTCTCACGTATTATCATTTAAGTATTTGGGTTTTTAAATGGTTCCAACTGTTGTTTCAGGCATATTCAAATCTGCTGAGGGCTAACATGGATGGCTTGAAGAAAAAAGACAAGAAAAGCAAAACCAAGAAAAGTAAAGCAACACAGTGACAGAACAGTGTCCTACCATCACCATAACAGACCTGACCCTCACTCAAAGCAAAGTCCATTTCTTTTTGAGTTACCACTTGTCTTTGGCTTTCCTTCCAGCAGGATACTGGGATATGATCAGTACTTTTGTTTAAACTGGCAGCAGAGGTGCTTTCTTTGGATTGTTGTATGGCCAGGAGTATGTACAGTGTTATACTAAAATAGCTTTAGAAGTTTTGTACTTATACTGCTGCTGTTTGTAAAACCTGTTTGGGGGGGTAACAGAGGGTGAAGAGAAATGCACCACACCAGAAACAAAATAAGACTGGAGGAGGAGTCCCGGTGACAGATGCCCAATTTCATACCTGAGCCTCAGTAATAACAGGGAGAGCAGGTGCCAACATATTATCAGGAACAGCTGCTTTCCTGTTTGTGTGTCTTAATCTGAGGGACATGTCTACATCATGCAGTGTGGATATCCTTAAGGCAGCCAGCACAATGCTGGAGCTCTTGCAGAGCCAGGCAGCTGTGCCTTTACTCCATGCTGACCAAGTTGTGCTGTCCCTGGGTGGGAAGAGGGTAGGACTTTGCATCATGTTCCCTTCAGACATGGCTTTAAAAATGCTCATGTCATCTAAACTGTTATTTTTTTTAAACGTCATCCTTCAATATATTTGGGGATCTGAATTTTCCTTCCTTCATATGAGCAGATGTAAAAATACTTAATTGTTCCTATTAAACATAATGAAAAATGGATTTGGTTGTAATGACTTGTCTCAGTGAATAGCTAGGAATGGCACAGTTATCTGTGCCTTTAGGATTCACTCTGCTGATGCTGCTTTGGGTGTTGCTCTTACAACTTTCACACTTCTGAGAAGTTCTTGGGTTTTTCTTTAAAGTTACCTCTACGTATTTTAACTCTGCATTCCTCTTTACTAAAAGAGCAGAGCAGAAATTAGTAAGCAGGTATTTCTTAGTGCAATGAGCCTGCAGTGCTAAGGGCAGTCATTTGAGTTAGAGAAGGAAAGAAGTGTAAGCTGTTTAAACACCAGTATATTTCCAGAAATCCCTAACATTTCTGCATATTCATGCCAGTATTTGATGTGAAATACTATTCACAGTTAACTATGGCTGCTGTATCCTATCTTCAGATTCTCAGCTTCATTTTTCCTGATGGGGTTGTGCTACTTGCTTCAAGAAGATAATTATAATATTCCCATCATTACTGACTTCAAACTTAATCTGACAACCCAGGTAAGGAAAGCTAGTTCAAAAATCTGGTTATGCCTCAAGCACATGCAGATTACTCTTTCTTTTAGGTTTAGATCCTGCAGGTCTGAAATAAGTACTTGCTTCTGTTAGGTCTTCGTCTCACAGAAGCTTGATTTAAATGCAAAAGTACAGACAGGACAAGCACAGGCAGCCAGGCTTGTAACAGCTCTCAATCTGAAATCTACCATATTTTATATATAAATTAAAACGGGAGGTTTAAAAAAGAAAAGAAAGCAATCACACACCAAAAGCTTGTAATGCATATTTCAAGAAGGCTCAGTAGCTAAACCTTTTATTACATAAAAATTCTTCAAAAAAGTTTAAAACAGTTTGTCATAGTTGAAGGCAATTTATCCTCTCTAGTTCTTGAACTGAGGTTTCCCATTGCAGTACTACTGTTGCATAAAAGGCAGTCTGAAAACTATTTTACAAAGTGAGTCTTACATCTGTACAGCTGATTTTTGTAGCATAAGGGGCAAGAATTACATGGTGATACATAGCTGTGGCTATAGTCAGACTCCTTAATTGCCTATAAAACATTTATTTCCACATTTTGACATAATACAGTTTTACATTTGTCATGGTTTAGGAATGGTATTCTCCAGTAAGGCTGCTGTGCTTTAGGAATAGTGTTCTCCAATTTAGTGCTTCCGCTGAAATCATGTGCCTCTTGCTACCCCCCCTTCTCTCTGGCAGGCTGGAGAGCAGAATCGGGGGCACAAAAGGTAAAGATCACAAGCTGAACTAAGCATAATTTACTGGAAACAGAATAATTTACTGGAAACAGCAACGAGATATGAAAACAAACAGGAACAGCAACAATACTAATGACAGAGGATACAAGAAAGAGGCAAACGTTTGCCACAAAAACAATGCCTGACCGCTCCCTCTGCCATGCTATGCTGACCTGGAAGGGACTCCTCTTTGGAAGAGACACCTTCCCCCTATAGAATAATCTCTGAGTCCTGGCCACACCTTCTCCCCCCTACAGCAAAACTTATCCCTGTACTGGCCGGAACCAGGAAAATATACATGAAATTCAATTTGGACACAGATAAAGGCACTACTTGCCCATCTTGCATTATTACAGCTATTTGAAATTCCTTTTGACAAAACACTGTTGTCTACTTTTAAGAGCATCCCATAAAAGATGCTTTAAGTACTAAAACAAAACCTTGTATTCGTCTCGGTAACTGTACAGGATAAGGGCAGGAACCCTGCAGAGGGAAGAAAAAAAAAGACAGTTTTAAAACTTTGAAACTGCAGGTTCAAAAGTTACAATTCCTGGGACAAATCAGCACAGTAAGATAACAGCAAAGACTGAGTAGAAAAAAAAAATCAGCGAGTCTTTGTTAGGCTGTCACTGCAATTCTCCCCTTCATCCTCTTTCAGCTGATCTAGCCTGTTCAGTTTTCATTCAGTGATCTATAGGTTTATGACTACGCAGTGCTCAGGTATCAAATGGGAATGTAAGACTTCAGGGACTGCATTACATTCATACCCAACACTGTATGGAATATTATTTGTATGTAATAACTGGGTTCTGTTGCTCACAGCCCTGCAAGCCACAGGGAGAAAAACAAATGCTTCACTTGCTCTTTAGTTGCCATAGTAAATGTTAGCAAACATGAAGGATTTTGGTGCATCTAAGAAATAGGAACCAAAGTAAGGTTTTAGTCTTATTTAAAGGTTAAGTAGTACAGCCAAGTGCAACATAGATTTAAGAAAATGCGTGAATACCTGTACATACAACAGTTGACAATTTGAGGTTTAAAACTGGATGTGTGCAGATTATCTGGACTATCTGGGTTTCAGCCTTGCCAGAATCCAGCAAGGAGTTGAAGTTGAACATATATGCTTTTATGCTTAGAAAACAGAAACGGGCTTTACTGTACATGCTTGCTTGAAGCTGGGCACTCTTAGCTGTGCCTAACTGCCGTTGTATTATTTCAAAGCAGGAGGAATTAAATGTGCTCATGAGTTTTAAAAGGCAAGCTGAGTCCCTCTGATCAGGAAAGATACATGCCTATATGTATACCATCATATATGTACACTGTATTTACACAGAAGTATATCTATTAGGTATAGCAGTATATCTGACTGCATAGAGTTGTTTGCTATTCAGTTTTATTAGCACAGCAGCAAGTGCGATAAAAGTGGCAATACATTTCAGAGTTTCTTGAAAGGGCTTATAAAAAATGAAGAATTTACATGGCCAAGAATTTACATTTTACCAGTAAGTGAGGGTTAGATGACCACTAAACTCTTCCCATACTTTTCAAGGAACTATACTGAATATTTATTTTTGCTTCAGGGAGAGGGGAAAGAGGAGGACAAAGTAGGAGCAACTTATTTAGCAGTCTGAATGCAGGAATAATTAAGGTGGTTTATGTACCTGTAAGAGCTTAACAAATTTACCTCTTTTCCATTTTGATACTGTAAATTTCATCACAAATTGCTTGTAAGTATGAACATCTCTGTTTGGGCCATCGTGACATCAGCTGTCTCACAGTAGCATCAAAGGCTTGTCTATCTCCATCAAGCTAAGAAAAAAAATTGACAAGGAACTTGTCTTACATTCTCTTGTGAAGGAAATACTTTACCAGATAGCATGCAGTCTTCTCAATATTGTGTAATGTCAATGCTCCTTAATTAAACAGCTTTCAAAGAATATGGATACCAACACCACCTGCAACTTTATTAAGAATTTAGGGATCAGTTTCTTAAAAAACTTTAGTGCTAAAAAGGCATAAGCATTGAAAATGGCTCTATCAGTTTTGTGGTGCTGGACAGAATATAATAACTGTGATATAATGGTGATCAAAAATGAATGATGCAAGCTAATAGTGCGCATGTATTTTTTTTTAAACTGAAAGCTGATAAACTATCTTCATGATTTGGGCAGACTGGATGAACTAAATATTTTGAAAATGTCTTGAAATGTTTCACTGCATTTTGATTACCAGACAAGCACTGCTTCAGAGCAGCAAATGAAAGGTCTGGAAGTACTAAATGCACTTCCAGGATGCCCTTCTTGAGTTTGTTTTTTTTTCCAGCAGTCGGGGAGGCATCCATCTTGCTAGTAAGAGCTTCTGACTTTAAACATAGTGCTGTCATTGGAGGAAAGAAGAAAGCTTTGTCTTTGGTGTTGTCATCCCCCCCTTGTCCACCACTGAGCAGTTCCCAAGTTCTTAAAGGTGCCAGTATAAAAGTTACACATTCGCTTTTTATCTTGGCTTCACTAAGAGATGTTTCAACTACTGTACTTGAAACTGCCTCTGTATTTTGGGTCCTGCTTCTTTAACAGCTTCAAGAAGCATCTTTGCTGAAATGGCTATTAATGCTTACTGGTTTCTGAAAAAGTACAGTTAAGACTTAATTTCAGTTAACTATTCTTTGGGAAAAAACCCAGAGCTTTGGATTAGGACTTCCTAATGCTGTTTTGTGTAACTTGTGATATTTGACAAAAATGCTTTTCTAGTCACAGTCAAGCACCTTGGGTAAAAAAGTCCTTCCAAGTTTCAAAACCTAATTCAAAGTCCTTGAAAGAAAAAAACTACAGTGGGTGAATTTTACATTCCACTTCATTAGGAACAGAATTTATCATCTATTGTTTAATTAGAGTTTTAACAACAATACTTAAATGCCTACCTCTAACGATAAGAAGTGTATCACAGTTGCTTTTGGCAGATCTACCTGTAAAAATACCAAGAAATCAGTACTTAACAGTTCTCTGTTCAATGAGTTTGCCAAGGGAGCCAGAATTTTTGATTTCCAAAGAAGTACTCATGCTGATAGAACTAGGAATTTACAAATGTTTTAATAATTTTAAACACAGTATTCATGACAGATTCCATTACGGAAAGTTCCAGATAGGTGCCAGCAAATAGGCAGTATGTTTCCTGAAAAGCATATACCATTTTAAAGGCCTTTGTGACACTGTCAGTGAAGTCTAAAAACTATATACAGACAAGAGCTACGTTGATTTAAATGGAAGTGCAAATCTAGCAGGAACAAGTTATTAAACCTACCACAGTAGTTAGTATAATTACAGCTTAAGAGCTTATAACTAAATACTTTTAAAATTTTGTTCTATGCAACTGTCCCATACATCCCTTTAATGCTTTTCAAGTATTAAAGAAACAGGCCACGGGTCTTATTTAACCAGAAGTTTCGTTCATTTGGTATCTCTGAAGTGAGGCGACTGGCAGCAGTTTGTTCCAGAGAGGAACTGCATCATCCATTTCAATTAAAAATTTGAAATAATTCAGGCTTCTGCCAAATACTTACAGCTAAAATGTCAATCTCACTTGTTTTCTGTTGCAGGCTAGAAATGAATGTCTGAAGTCTTGTTTGGACCTAGGAACAAAAGATGGGCAAAAGTAAAATACCCTGCTTGTGTGATAATGGGTCGTAAGTGCTGATTTTCTATTTCACAGATGAGAACAGAAGAGGCTGCTTCTAACACAAGGTGTAGAACTATATAGTATTTAAATTAAAATTCATGCTTAATATAATTTCCAGTAACAACGTCACAATAATCCTTGAGAGAGGAAGGAGACTGGGGCTAAGCCACTCTCGCAGCAATTGTAAACACTTGCCAACACTGGCACGGTGCTAAAGCTGACAGAACCAACCACACGTTACAACGTGGGTGCTCACATACCTAATGAAAACTGCCTTTCTGTTTCTGTGCAGAGGATAACTTGTCACAGGAACGTGAGAACCTGTGACTGGATACCGTGAATCATCTCTAGCTGAAGGAGGACTGATTTTGAAAGTCAAACCAAAAAATGGGTCATGCCTTGTAACGCTTTTCCAGAGCAAGCTAATGGTCCTGCGAAGGTAGCACTTTACAAATGTAGTTGCAGCCTTGCATTATGTTGTCTTTTCTACCTTGGAAAAGTTGCTTTTACATATTCAGAACTTAAAATAGTAAGTCTATTTAGCTCAAAGCTCAGAGAATAACATTCATTCGTTTATTTGGGTTTCCAGAACTATTTATAGGGGAGATTTTTTTGTTGCACATCCAAGTTGGGTGGAGAAGATTACAGTTCTGGTTTATCATATACTCTAAATATCTTGAAGTTAATAATCCTAAAGGAGAAAACTCTGAGTTTGTTTCCAGCATCACTGAATCTCTTCTACATTACTATAATGTAATGTTTTAGGCAGGGTTGTGGGTTTTGATTTTGTTTTTGGTTGGTTGGTTTGGGGTTTTTTTAAAGCTGCAATTTTTTCTTAGGCCTTTAGTTTTAAGACAACAGAATGAAATAAAATACATAGAGTATCTGTTACAAACATACTGCTAATTAGAAGTATGATGAACTTGCACCTTTGTGCTGGTTTTGGCTGGGTTAACTTTCTTCACAGTGGCTAGCATGGGGCTGTGTTTTTGTATTTGTGCTGTATCAGGACTGAAAATACAGACATGTTTTTTTTTTTTTTGCTGAGCAGGGCTTACACAGAGCCAAGGCCTTTTCTGCTTTTTGTACTGCCATGCTGGCAAGGGGGCTTGGGGCGCTGGGAGGAGACACAGCCAGGACAGGTGACCCAAACTGACCAAAGGGATATTCCACACCATATAACATCATGCTCAGTACATGAAGCGAGGGGAATGGGGGGGACCTTTGGAGTGATGGTGTTTGCCTTCTCAAGTAACTGTTACACGTGAAGGGGCCCTGCTCTCCTGGGGATGACTGAACACCTGCCTGCCCATGGGAAGCAGTGAATGAATTCCTTGTTCTGCTTTGCTTGTGTGTGCAGATTTGCTTTCCCTATTAAAATGTCTTTATTTCAGTTTGTGAGTTTTCTAGCTTTTATCCTTCCAGTCCTCTCCCTGATCCTGCTGGTGGGGGAGTGAGCAAGTGGCTGCATGGGGCTTGATTTTGCTAGCTGGGGTTAAATCACAAGAACCTTTAACACACTTCAGCATTTATGGATGGGGAGGGAAAGACAAAAAAAGAAAAAGAAAAAAAGGGAACTTCCAGAACCAAGTAAAATAAGATTTCTAATATGTATGCACAAGAATGGCTAAACCACAATCTCCAACGTCCAAAACATTAAAAAAAAGGTGGTCTTTGCCTTCAACATTCTGTGTTGTTCCTAGTTTATTTTCTGAATAATAAACAAATAGGATGAATTTGTGTAAGTCAGGTAATAATGGAAATATGAATTCTACCATTCCTTAACTTTTAAGGAACATTTCTTAATATTTAATTGATGTGTGTGTACCTGAATTTCTTGACGACGCCTGGCACTGGCAGATAATTTTTCAGGAGCTATAACACTAACGTTAGGCACTACAAGAGTTCCGTGTGATTCAAATACACCTAAAATGCAAACACAGATTATAAACTAAAACTTACTTTATACAAGAAGTAATAAGAAACAGAAAATTCACAAATATTAACAAGATAAAATCTGTGTATATATTCAGGGTTTGAAAAGCTGCTGAAAACCTCCAAAGCCTGACAGGACAGTAAGATGTGCATGTAAATTCTCAAACACTCATTTATGACTTTGAAGGACTGGTTGTTAAGACTAAAAAATCTGGTATTTTACATCAGTTTTCCCTGAAACTAATAAGATGTTCCAAATGGCTTCCAATGGCTTTACAAAGGAATGCAGCATACCTAACATCAAAAAAAGAAAAGCTATTTACAAGGAAGAGGCAGCTATTTAATGCTCAGTCCCACTGCAGAATCAATGACAAAACAAAGAAAAAACCCCAGCTCCCCCCAGTAATTAAAATTTGAAATACCTTATTTTGAAATTCAAATTGCCACTTCTGGTAATTACATACACAAAAAAACCCAAGTTAAACATGGCCACCTCTCTCCCTCACTGCTATGCAAGCATGTGCGTGAAACATTTCTTTAAAACAGCCACCACCACCCTCTATATCAGTGCTTAATAAAATAACTATCAAGAATACCAAACGTTATCCACACAATAAATACTTAATATTATTTTTATACATAAACTCATATCATCAGACTAAGGAGTGCAAATCCATAGCTAGAAATGTAAAGGCATTTTCATTTGAAAAAAAAGTTATTTTTAGATTTTTTTAGTAGGTCAATGTACATGGGACTCAACACTGTAACAATCACAGTTCAAGATACTTTTTATCAGGATGACATTTAATTTCTCCTCAGCTGGGAAAGTTTGTGGCTTTGGCTTTCCCCGCCTCCTGGATCACTGCATCAATGAATGGTTGTATGGAGAATATTCTGTTCATTGGTCTAAGCACTTAGTTTGGAGAAAAATTCAGTTTTACATCACTTGGAACAAGATTTGAGATTAAGAGGCAGTGTCTCTAACCAGAAGCTCTGCTATAAATTATCTTCTTACTCTGATTTGGGTAATATCTTTAAAATTAATTGTTCCAACAATATTTTCTTGTAAAATAGTTTTTGAGCAGAAAGAAAAAGTTTGTATGTCCTTAAACTAGATATTAAATACCTGAAATATTAGTAAACAATCCCTTTTGATTTGGTACTGGAAGATTATCTGAGGTTTCTCTAAAAATAAACAAAGACAGTTAAGGAAACAAACAATAATAAAGAAATACTGTAATAAGACAATAGTTTCAGATTATCATACATACTTATTTAATTCCAACAGATGAATTAGTTTACAGACACTTCCTACCACATATCTGTAGATTAAATTCTATTCTTGAACTGACAGGAAATCATACAAAATTACATCAAAAAATCAGGTCTAGAAGAAATGCTTCCTATGGATACAAAAAAATGTGCTCCCAGTCATGCAAGAGTGATTTAGATCTTAACACAAAAATATATTATGATAATAGTCTCTCTGAATTATTAATTTAATCTACTTCTTACAGGTTTCTGTGACAGAATACTAAGGTATCAAAGTAGTATTTATACTTAAGAGCATGCATATTCAAAGAAGCTTTCAATTGTAAGTTTGAATCCATTTACCTTCCACATTCAAGAATCATTAAAAGACAAATTTGCCAGTGTTATTACAATCATAGTTATTGCATTTCTCTGTTTAGTAGTACCAAACAAGGGTTTTTCTATTCTCTTTTCAGTGTCTAGAAATAAGGTAACGTTTAGAAAGAATGATTTTCTTTCACAGCTTCTGACAGATCCATTACAAAACACCTGAGAATCAGGTTAGTCATGAAGTGAAATGCCAAGACTGGCAGAGGCCAGAGAAAGGAGAATGAGACATGGGTAGTAGGAGACATCAACGACCTGTACAAACTACTGCTTGAGTTCAGCATTTACCATATGTTATGCTACTTACCTACTACATCTTTCATCACCGGTTTTCGTTTTCAGCTTCTGGATCAGGTGATCTACTAAGTCAGATTCTAAAATCCTTTTCTCCGTCTGTCTGTCTTTCTCAAAGGACTTCACCTACGATGTAGTTCAGTGGTTCTTAAGATTGTTGATTCTTAAAATGGTATATGAACAAACTTATCAAGTTTAATCAAAACCAAACTGGATTATTCATCCATAAAAGATGAAACAGTGAAAGGTAGGGAGGTATCATCATTACCAATCAATCACTGCCCATTAAATCTTTGATTAGACTTTTTTTTTCCCCAACCAACTGATTTTTTTCTGTATTCCCAAAGCTTAAACTAGCTTGGCTACCTGTATTTAATATGTGGTAATTAAATTTTTAACAGAAGGGTTTATGGGTATAAATACCATATTATTAATAGCATATTTTTAATTAAGCAATTATGTTAGAATAAGGCCGCCTTTCAGTTTGCAAGAGTTAAACTCAACCACTCAAAACTTAAGCATCTGCACCATCTTTACTGGCAAGAGATTAATCACTAACAACACCACTCACTTCATCAGCATATTCTTTCTTGGTTTTGCTTCAATAAAGCCATATTTAAAAGAAAGCTCTGTAATAGTCTTGTGGAAGACTTTGATATATCACATTCTCATCATCAAGATCTACTCATTCATACAATTAATGCAGTTATTTGCTATCTCTGTTATAATAACAAAGATAGTTAACAACAAGTGAAAAATATTTTAGTAAGGTACATTGGCTTGGTAAAATGTCCGTACCAGATGCTGTCAAACAGTTACTATATTTTAAAAGAATGAATCTTTACTCAAAAAAAAAAAAATGTTTTCTCTAATGATACAGAATATTTTAAAACTTTTAACTTCAGAAAAAGGTAGCAGAACCACAGGCTGCAGAGTACAGAATGTGGTAATTCATGTTGTGACACAGTCCACTGTTTGCATCTTAACTTAAGCTTACAGAGGTGAGCAGTGTGATTCTGACTTTGCCTGTCTGAACTACATTTTTAGATTTATATTTTAGTTGTATTTATTTTGCAACATGAAAAGCTGCCAACTAGAAAGATTGTTAACTAATTAATTGTGCAGATTCAAAAAAATCAGAGACAAGAGAAACCTTGTTCCATATAAAACCACCAATAACAAAGTCAAGCAATGTTTGCACTAATCTTCGGACTTTCCTAGAAGAAAGTAGGTCTGTGAATAACAGTGTTATGAAGGGATAAAATGCAGTATTCTTCAGAAGAACATTCTACCACTTAACAACTGAAACTGTATTTACCTCAACTTCACCTGCTTAAGTATAATTAATATTATATTAATCATAACAATCATAAAAAATAAAATAATGTAGAAGAACAGATTATAAACCTGAAACACCAAACATCGTCTGGTCCTACACTTACCTTCACATGACTTCCTTCTTTATCTGACACAAGAGCTACATATGTAATCCCAGAGCATCTGCAGTATTCCTGCAGTTCTTCCTGGGACTAAAATTTGAACAGGAGAAGGAGAATGGGAAAGAAATTTGACAGGTTATAAAATGACCACTTAAGTAATCAAAGTCTCCTATCTTTAAAATAACTTGATATGCAACAGTTACACTGCTTATATGAGCTCCTGAGAGAGAAAAGCTTGATTAACAACTCCAGGAGATGAAACTTCATTATGCATATATTTATCCACCTAATGCTCCTTAAAAATTGAAATGTAAATCTATACTTATACAAAGAGGAAGTCTAGGCCCTGCAGTCCTAGTTCTCACATGGAAGAGTTAGCTCTATCTAGAAATGCAGGGTCTACATAATTGTAAAAATGTGCAGTGTAACATCAATCAACACTTACCACCCTGCTGGCTGCAGCTTTCAGTAATAGCTCAGTCCTACATAACTGGTAGTCTGTCACAAAAACTGAAGGCAGCTCGGTTTTCTGTAAAACTGAGGCTGACCTACAACATCCTCAGTGCTGATCTTACTGTAAGGGCTTGCTATGCTGACTTACTCAGCACTGGGTTACAGGACAGCATTAGACAGGGGCAAGAACTACCCAAATCTTCGTTCCTTATGAATCACACAAAAAAAAAGCCAAACAAACCTGAAAAGCACCCCCAGCCCCCACCAAGAAGATCATAGGAAAGGCATATAATCTGGATTTTTTCCAATTCTGAGCGATTGAAACTGTTGTAAATGGCAAAAGAAATATGGTATCTGGTTGCACTTATCTTATAGAACAAAAATACAGTTAGTTAACACATGGAGATAGAAATTCTACCTGGGACCAGTCATACATTATTTCAGCTGGAATTCCTGCAGTCCAGAGTTTCTGAACAATATTGATAGCTCTACCCATTGACATCTGACCAACACTTACGACCAGCAGGTCACAAGAACTGACAGAAACCTGATGGGAAAGTAAAAACAAGGAGACAATATTAGTCACAAGACCACCTTTTCCCCTTCATTAGCCAGTTAAAGTAACAAAGAAGGA